GCCTTTGCCGCTGTGAGAAAGATCTTTCGCCTGGGAACTAACTCTTCCGAAAAGTTAGGGAGAGCCAAGGCAGTCAGGAAACACTGAAAACAAATCGACACAGTGAGGGCATGTTCTGTACTGGTAACACATCAGTCATGTGTTAATCGCACCCAAAACACAATAAGGCTGTGTATTTTCACGCTTGGCGGGACCTTCGACACGTTTGATAACACAAAAAACAGAATAATGACACACTTTTCTCGTGCCAAGCACGCTGGACGAATGTAATGCATCAGTGTATCGAAATCATGTGTTGTCGGATATGGTAGACGTGTACCCTTACACAAATATACCGTGCCATCCACCAGTGAGCGACCTCTGAACCTTAACTTCAGATGGGGATAACAGAGGGCGTTTTTCGAGCACCGACTTTTATGCTGTGTTTTTGTAAAAATTTGCCAAAGTGTTTTGAGAAAGGTCAAAATGCACAATACAGCCGAGGGAGTCGATACATGATAAATTGTCTAAAGCAATATGCGCTGATTACATCAAGTGCAAGCTGAAGCATAGCTAATTAACGTCTGCTTGGAGGAAGAAACTCCTCGGTCTATATAGGATATATTTGAAAAATCGGTGGCCGAAAATTTATCCCGGCTGTCTGGACAATTGTATTGTGCAATTGTCCTCAAACTTGGGGCATCGTCACTCGGGTCTTGGTGCTCTGATTAAGCCGTCCACGTGACGCGTTCGCCCTTCGGCTCTGAAGTGGCCGACCGGGCGCAACTCCAGCTCGTGTATGGGTCGGCGGCCTCGTATGGGTCGGCCGGCCGCGTGCTCAGCCCTGACCGCGCTCTGACCGTATGGGTCGGCCGGCCGGGTGCTCAGCCCTGACCGCACCCATGCGCCCGATTCTACTCGGGGCCCGGCTTTGGCAATCAGCCTGTCCAGCCAAAGCCAAAGTCCCTTCAACTGCGCCCCGGCAACAAACTACATAATCACCACGTGTTTCCTTCTTTCACTTGCGATTTGTGTTAAATTTAGTAACACATTTACCTTGTATTCTGCAAGTGTATTCACACAAGCCTTATGTGTTGAAGACACAATGATATTGTGTTTTAGGACACAACACGACTGGGTTAACACATTTGTAAATTGACACGTCTGCGACGGGTCAAAAAATGCATGATGCAGGGTACACAAGAAAACCTAGTTAACACGCTCTGCCTGTGCGTTTTTAGTCGTTTTTTGTGTCATTTTGTTTTCAGTGAAATCTCTCCTTTGCAGGTCTCGGAATACGTCCTCAGTAGGTTCTTCAGGAGAACGTCCTTCGACGGGGTCCTTCGGTCGACCACCGGACACCTACTTCGAATGCATCCTGAGGTGCCGGACTCACTCCACACAATAGTTCACCATCGCTCAGAGAGGCTGTTACGCTAATGCTATTTCACTGTCGACAGTCTTCCATCTCTGGGGGCATCCTTGAGATATGTATCTTGCGCGGAGCGCCAAGGCGTCGCGCACAGGACCTTTGCCACAAAAGGACACGCTTAGAATACATCCAGGTGTTGGGACAACTGACGCGTTTCACTAAATGCTGCGGGCGATGTTCGCCCCATTTTGTGAAGCTAGGCACGTCGTTTTGATTTTATTTCTCAAGCAATGTTCAGGCGTGTATGACAAAAGCTGGGGCAGTGCCAAAACACAGATAAAATAAATGCGTTTGAGGTGAATAGAGAAGAAGAGGAGGAGATATTAGAAAGAGGCACCGAGGCAGGAACAGGGCTAAGCCACACAGTGCAGCAGGCACAGCTACACGAATCGGAACCAAATGTTACAATAATAAGAAAAATACAATAGTTACGGTGCAAAAGTCAGAGCCACACGGCATAATAGTCCGAGCCACAATGTAAGTACAAATCTCAAAGCCACACATGCTCTGTAAAATAATCAGAGCCACACGGTACAATAGTCAGAACCACACGGTACAATAGTCAAAGCCATGAGTCACAATAGTCAGGACCACACAGTAGGAAGGCAAGCACAATAGTCAGCTGCGGGCTTAACGCCAGGCAGAATTGGCAAGTACTGTGTCATGGCACATGCAATATGTATCCACGACACGGAAACGAAAATAATTGCGAGCCTGGCCGTTCCCACGAAACTACCAACTCCTCATTAAAAATTTCTGGCTACGCCAGTTCGCTAAGCAGTGTAGCACTAATGAGCAGGCAAAACTGAGGCACGCGAGAGACGAGGTATGTTGATCACTCAGATACCATTGCCAGGGTCACAGATGGTGGTCCACTAGCTATAGGGGGTGGGGTAAGGGTAAGTAGGTGGGGGTCTGATGTAGAGCTCCGTCGCTAAGGGGAGGGGGAGCTTTGAGTACCAGTAAGAGTCATGATGCTGTTAATGGGCGACGCCGTAAGTGGATACTTCTCATCGGGCTCCTTAAACGGGGAAGCTTCTCATTACAATCCGTTGGTAAAGCAGGAAGCAATTCATCATGATTCAGTGGTAAGCGTAGAGGCTGCACCATAATCTTTGCAGAGGGCCATTCACCTACACCGCTGCTGTCACTTGTGGTTAATTGCAGCTATCCATCGTCAGCCCACGTGTAAAATAAGAGCGCTTCTCACCTTGACGATGTCACAAGTGGACAAAAACACGATTAAATCAACCGCCGATCCTGACGTTAAGGTAAACAGAAGCGGCGGCTACTTATGACCCAAATGGCGTTCGTAGCTAGTAGCGGTGCATAATAATATGTTTCAGTACTGAAACAGTCACAGAACGGGACTTCTAAGAAAGTTTCTTCATCGTACTGATACAAAAAGCTAAAGAGCGCATCTTACGTAATCCTAAAATTGCGCTACTAAATGTGGTGGCTAAAGTACTGTCTCCACGTGTAAACATTTTCGGTTTTTCGCGTTTTAGCAAACGAGAGTTTTGCGCTTTTTTCGCTTTTTAACAGACGCTTTTGCGAGTTTTGCGAGTTTTTCGCTTTTTACGGTTTTTGTTTGTCAGTCTTTCAGAACAATTACAATTTCAGAACAATTTCAATTTCAGAGAAAGAACATCTTTCTCCGCCCTTCGTACGCTGTATGCCGGGGCCCTCTTGTCCCACAGGGTAGGTATCTGGCGCACGGCTTCTATTAACCCCTCGATTTTCGCTGTAAAGATAGTTATTGGAGTATCATCACGTTACCCTATTGTTATCACCGCTATGACATCAGTTAATTATCAATTATCTGAAATGATCTGATATCGTTATATCTGTTATCCATAGACTCACTATGTAACTATTTGACATCCACATCGTTGGAATAGCAACAGAAGTTATTGGTATGGTTGTCTGAGTACTTACCATGATCATTGGCTTAATCAAATTGCGTTTCATCGCTTTCCACACTTTCCATTGCATCCATTTCACCGTAAAATGGTATTAATAGCAGAAGGATTACCTTTTCAGCCTTGTCAAAAACCGGAAAACTTTCATTCGATCCAAATGTTTGGATAAAATGGCGCGTTTTACAAATGAGAGTTTTGCGTTTTTTAACCCGCGCACCGACGGGGGTCTGCGCCAACTTAGTACCGACGGGGGGGGGGGGGGCGGATGACCGCCCCCCCCCTGAGATCTCGAGAACGAAGCAAGATAGCGACAAGCGGTAAACGGCATCGGATACGCACGGTCAAGATCTACAATTTTTACTTAGGTCATTTTCAGGTCAGGTCAAAGATGACGTCACAGGGGTCGAAAAAGTCAAAATGGCGGCGCTAAATATGGAGAGAGTTTTTCTCGAATAACTTTCGAATTAGTCAAGATAGGAACAAACTAAGGGCATCATCGTGATCCTCTCGTCAATCCGCATCGAATGATATATATGTTGACCTCGAAAGGTCAAGGTCAAAGGTTGACCTCAGGTCACGTGACCTCGAGGTCATCATGTATATCATTCGATGCGTCTTGACGAGCTGAACACAATGAGACCATCCACGCGTCTGTATCTTGTTCCTGTACGGAGTTATTGGCCAAAACCTTTGGTGACCTTTGATGACGTCACATGACCTCACAGCTGCCCAACAGCAAAACAGACCTCAAGGTAGTGAAGGTTGATCGTATATGAAGTCATGTATGGTATATGGGGCCATTCCGACCCGTTTTAGTGGTAAAAACAGGGAGTTGATTTTTCCCCCATTGACTTATAATGGGGAGGTCGCGAAATTGACCTGACCTTAGGTCACCGATATCAAAATTCCGAGATATACAAATTGTAGCTACTAATGACCTAATAACATCCTGCGACTTTCAAAGGCCTCCGACATCTACTGTAGCTCTGGCACGGTGACAAAGTTGCAAAAAAGTGACTTGAGGTTGGGTCATTCAAAGTGACCTGGTGACCTGACCTTGAAAGGTAGGAGGTTCAAACTTGCACACCATGTGTAAAATTGATAAGGGAATAGTCATACCAAATTTCGCGGCGCTACGCGCCGCGGTTTTCCCGCTATTCGCGAAAAACCTCAGGGGGGGGCGGATATCCGCCCCCCCGTCGGTGCGCGGGTTAAAGGTTTTACGAGTTTTGCATGACACAACCTGACGCGTTTTGCGAGTTTTGCAGTTTTTTGATTTTATGAAGCCACGCGTTTTTCGATTTTTGACAAATCTTCCGCCGTGGAGATGGCACCGTGTAATTTAATGGTACAGATCAACGCCGGATCATGAAAAACTCGCAAAACATCAAAAAAGCGTTAAAACGTCATTAAAAACGCGCAAAACATGTACCGTGGAGAACGACCTTAATATGTATGTATGCCGATGGTAAATGGAGAGGCTAGTTCTTATCCATCGTCTTCTTACCAGCGTGGATCGAGCCGATGGAAAGTCAAGGAGACTTCCCGATATGCATCCTGGCATACACACAGAGGCACCGTGATCTTCCACTGTACAAGATTCAGAATGAAGACCGCTCATTATGGACAAGCATTCAATCCTTCAATCAAGAACAGTAGGTACTCACCATGATCCTACCCGTGGTGGTCTGTCCGGATATCAGCTCCCCGGCCCAGTCTTTGGCCTCGGAGACGAAGCTGCCCTCGAACTGGGGCTTCTGGCCACTGGCGGATCCTGGGGGGGGTCCACGGGGTCATGACCCCCCCCAAAAGGTCTGAGAGGGTCATTTGACCCCCCCCAAAAGCCGAAGACCTAAATGCGCTATAGACGCCGTCTTGCATGCTCAAAATCACCTGTCAAACACTTCTGAGCTAATACCTTTGTTTTTCTGGATCGTGTTGCGTGAAAAGGCGTATTGAAGACCAGAATCTTACTCGTTTTTGTCTCAACCGTGCGAGCACCAGGGGATGATCCAGGAAAACTCCAAGGGGATGGTCATGAATTTAATTCGTGGTGCCCCTACCTATACGCAAAATTAAAAACTCAACGGATTTCGGTCACTTAATTTTGGTGATGTCCTATTTTCATTTTTTATTTTGTTTGTTTTATTTTTAGTGCCCCTGGGCCCTGGCAGGTCAAAATCACGTCTGAGGCGAAAGAAATTCACGGGAATCCCAAAAATCACGTCAGGACATTCAGGGCCCTCTGACCAGCCTGACAGCTAGGGCCCTTCTTACTTCCTGGGGCCTCCAGTGAATAACCGCTAGTGTCTGTGTCTGACCGCTAGGGCCCCTCTGACTCCTCAGTAGGTAGGAGGCCCTCTGTAGAGGAGGTCCTCTGTAGAAAGGAGGCCCTCAGTAGAGAGGAGGCCCCCTGTAGAGAGGAGACCCCTTTAAAGAGGAGGCCCTCTGTAGAGAGGAGACCTGCTGTAGAGAGAAGGCTCTATGTAGAGAGGAGGCCCTGTGTAGAGAGGAGGCCCTCTGTGGAAAGGAGACCGCCTGAATGCAGAAGGCCCTCTGAAGAGTGGAGACCCGCTGTAGAGAAGAGGCCCTCTGAAGAAAGGAGGCCCTCTGTAGAGAAGAGGCCCTCTGAAGAGAGGAGGCCCTTTGCAGAGATGAGGTCCTCTGGCTCTTTGAAGAGAGGAGGCCCTCTGTAAAGGAGGCCCTCTTAAAGGGAGAGACCCTCAGTAGAGAGGAAGCCCTCTGTAGAGAGGAGGCCCTGTAGCTTCTGTAGTTAAGAGGCCCTGTGAAAAGAGGAGGCCCGCAGTAGAGATCGGTGGTCCTCTGTAGAGAGGAGGCCCCCTCTGTGTTTTGACAAATGTTTTTGCAAATTTTTCGCGGCGCTTCGCGCCGCCGATTTATGTACATACGTACAGGTCAATACGAAATCTTGACTGTAATTACATAAACCAACCGTGTCAAATTGAATCAGAATTCATATGTGTGCTGTAAAGGAACTCCGGCTTGTACTGCAATGCTAAAAGGGTGGTAAAATTTGTGTTTTGGAGCTGTGTTTCGACACATTCTTTTGCAAATTTTCTCGGCGCTTCGCGCCGCCGATTTATACACCAATCAATAAGAGAGAAATAACAGTGACTGTAATAACACCAACCGTGTCAAATTGAATCGGAATTCATATGTGTACTGTGAAGGAACTCCGGCTTGTACTAGCATGCTAAAAAGGTTGTAATATTTGTGTTTTAGAGCTGTGTTTTGACAACTTTTTTTTGCAAATTTTTGCGGCGCTTCGCGCCGCCGATTCATACACAGGTCAATAAGAGAGATCGTGACTGTATGCTACTATTTACTAATGCATTAGGCTAAAAGTGAGGTAACTATATCTACTTCTGGGTTTTTAAGTCGGTCGACCCGCCTCCCCCCCCCCCAGTAAAAAATCCGTGGCGACGCTCCTATATAGGTGGGTTTCACTAACTAAAACTACTGAGCCGAGTGACTTACGATAAAACTTCATCTTATAAACGACGAAGATCAAATGTCATTTTTTGATCTCGACATACTCGCTCCCTACCCCCCCCCCCCCCCGGTCGTCAGAATTCATTCACCAGACCTGGTATGTCGGCCGACTGGTGACCCCCCCCAAAACGACCCCCTAGATCCGCCCTTGCTTCTGGCCAGCCGGCAGCGCCGCCGGCTTGGGTTCTTTGGCGCTTTGTGTGTACTCGGCTCTCGGCTTGGGTCGACAGCAGAGAAAGGTCAGGCCCCTCCATATCAGCACAGTTAGAATGCCGGCCACAAATGTGCAGATGGAGGAGACGAGGAAGCACCACCACTTGCGGTCTTTGAGACACTCGTCCTCCGTGAGCTCCTCGTAAACCATAGCTGCCAGGTGATGCGCCCGTCGACGCAGGTGTCAGGAACGTCGCGTCGCGAAAGACGCGGAGGACTAGCGCGTGGTGTCTGGGTCACTCGGCATATACTCCTCCATAGGAAACAGTCACTGGTTGAAGAACCACCTTAAAATCTCACCGCCGACTGAACTCTGCAGGTGGACGGACGGTGTCACGGCGGCCGCAGCGCGCTCACTCGTCGCCGACTGGCGCACTCAGCTGAGCCGGCGCCGGATCGATAGCCAGTGCGCAGGCGCAGACAGACGACGGACGACGGACGACGGTCGGCGGCCGGCGGCAGCCGTCGGAGTCGATTCTACGCCGCCGACGAGCGCCACTGACTGCCAGAGATAGTGGCGAGAGAGGAGCGAGAGAGAGAGAGAGAGAGAGAGAGAGAGAGAGAGAGAGAGAGAGAGAGAGAGAGAGAGAGAGAGAGAGAGAGAGGGAAGAGGGGAGGTTCAAAGAGGATAAGAAAGAGGGATAAAGCGGAAAAATATATAACGTTGATTTTACCGGCATCACATTTCTTTCGTCGTTAGTGGAGAGCGTCGAATGAACTGTAAGCTGACCTGAAAAGGTCAACTTAAAATTTGGTCTCAGGTCAAGGTCATAGAGAATGTCATGTTGCGTATCCGTCGATTCGTATCGTTGAGCCAAACGCATCCATGGTATTTTAATTGCTCTAGCATGTTTCTATCTAAAGCTATTGTAAAAAAAACTGTTTGTGACGTTTCATGACCTACCTATAGTATTTTTTCATGTTGATGGTGACTGCTTTTCTATTATTTTCTATTTATTTTCTTTTAATTATTTTGAGCCTATTCTCGTTGAAGAGTGCAACTCAACAGGGGCGCAAAATTGTGAGTTTTGAGTATGAGTGTGTTCGGGCACCCTCTCACCGTAAAATGGGATTCACGTAGCATAGACAATTTTCCTTATTTCGGTGATGTCTGCTGTTTAACGTAAAACACATTCGGATTGCCAGCGGAGCTGCTGAGACGAACATGTATATAGGTGCAATTATTTTACACCGCCGTGATTGTTGAAAATATCAGTGAGCGCTTTGCTTTTTAGTTAAAAAAAACAACTTTAAATTAAGCTTAGAAACAATTTCATAATTCACGTGTTAATAGGTTAGGCCGCTTTTTAACTGATAACTTTGAACGCACCGTTCAAAGGAAAATCAGAAAACAGTTGCTCGGAGAATTAACCGATTTTGATCAATTAAACTCTACATTCAAATTGTGCATTTGCCATCGACGCCTTCATCCTTTTTCAGCCTCAGGGCGATCGCAGCTTCTTCAGGTAGGTATCCAATGAAGGACAGACCCATGCAGCGGGGAGCGCACCAGGGGCGGCGGATTCGGGGGCAGGGGGGCAGCTGCCTCCCCCCCCCTGGCAAAATCGTGGGGGGCAAAAGTATCTTTTTGCCCCCCCCCCCATAATTTGCAACAAAGCTGAGACAAGAAACCATATACCCGATTATTCTGTTCGATCATCTGAAGATGTAACCAGATGCCCATATACTTTCATACGTTGCCTTTCTTAAATGGCAAGCGTTCGCGACGCGTTCAATTGAAGTTTTCCTCTCTTCAACCTAGTTTTGGAGGCATTATAAGCGTCAACGTGACGCAGCGGCAACCCAGGCCTTCAGTGACCGCTTACAGGGACGACAGATACAGGGTGGCAGAGGAGGCATCGTCCCCTAAGAAACTTTTGGAGGAGGGGCAAACGTATATTCTTGCCCCTCCATAATTTGTGCCCTAAACATGGGGAAAATTTCCATAACCTGATATTGCAGCTATGCGCTCCTACAGTTTGTCCAACGGTGCCTTTTGAATATGTGTAAATGCTAACCATTTCCGCTTTATATCATTTTTTGTCTTTTGAGATTCGATTTAGAGATATTTTAAGTGTGCAAGAGACGCAACTCATTACCTTCAGTGGTCGTTTGCCGCTATTTTGTACCTACATAAATGTCAAATCACAAGCGAGCGGAGACGGAAGGGCTAGCCATTCCCTTGCGGGTAGTTAAGACTGATGAGCGCTCATAAGAAGCCACGGTCGCACGCATTGACCACATTGACCAATGCACGGTATGGTATGACACCCAAAGGCCAGTCATCATAGATCTGCTTTGGGAATTCGGAGGCTTGTGTGGGGCCAGTGTTAAAACTGGATGTTCACAGTTCAGTATCCGCTTTATTTCAGTTTTCACTATTAAAAAAGTAAAAATTACTGATGGAAACTTTCGAGGGTTAGGGCACTGATCATAAGTGCCCCTCCCCCTCTGTCTAAAGGCTGGCTATAGAATAAAGAGCATCAAACACGAACAGTAGCGGCGGACCACCTTCAATTAAGGGGGGGGGGGGCACTGCCGACTTTTGGTCCCATTCTTTCCATGCAACGCCCATAGGGCTAACGTTAAAATGCCAAAATCAAAGGGGGGCACGGTGCCCCGGTGCCCTCCCCGTTCCGCCGCCTATAAAAACGAAAGCAAAATCTAAGGCATTTTGGAAAAATGAGTATGCCCCGCAGCGTCCGATAACTACCACCTTCCAGTGGGTCAAGCCAACGGGGCCCAAGTCTATAATGGCACCTAACGATAGCACTAACCTTGTCTCACTTTTCGTTGAAGTCTGTTCCGAATGGTTTCGGCCACAGACTGGCTGCACTGAGGTCGTTTGGTATGTGCAACTGTAATTAAAGCCACCTGAGGCGCCCTGACACCAGGCTGAAGCTGGGTTGGAAATGCTTCGTCTTTGCAGATATCACTGGCCACTGATTCTCGAGTGCCTGAACCGGTAGATGTCGTGGCAAAATTTGGTGTGATAATTTGGACCTTACCGCAGTCAGCACACCCTAAAGCCCTAATAAAGAAACGCCCCACCCAGAGCTTCTGGATTCCCGTTCCAGTCCACCGTTCCTTCACCTCAGCCCGCCGCCGCGCTCCCTCACCCTCCGTTCCCAGCTTGACGAGCGTTTGGGCCTTAGTTAAGCCTTGCTGTAGGCTTACTGTATAAACCCATCGAGACAGCCCGTCTCGGTGAGCTTATTTGGCGAACTACTGCCTTGGGGAGGGTTTCTGGCGGATCGCTGTCCCAATATGTTTAGATGCGACCGACTGTCTTTGAATGTTTGAGCGGTCTCCTCCCGCTGTGAGTTAGTTTCAGTTGATATCTGTCTCAGAAATACTTTAGGCCCGGCGAAAAAAGTGGGGGCGTTTAACGCCCCCCCCCCCCCAGCAACTCGCGGGTTAAAGGAAGGTTAAACGGAAATCGAACGTAAAATGAACAAGGAAATGGTAACGAGTTACCTCATTGCAAAGAATAGCGCGCGCCTACTTCAAAAGGTTTGGCACCGTTCTTCAACATCTGATATGCGATCGGGTTATGGCACAATTTTTCCCATTGGAGCTTTTTTCTAATACAGCAATACGAAAAGCGTTACATCGTCCACTGGCGGATCCAGGGAGCGGGTATTTAAAGCAAATATTTACTCCCCCTCCCCCTGGCCCCTGCATCGCCCGAAATAGACAAAACGTACCTTATGTTTCCTAATAACACTTTTAACAGGATTTTGTTTGCTTTATGCTGTTCAGCAGTAAGTCCGTAAGGAATCGAAATCCGAGGAGTTTTTGGATTTTGGACACTTTTTTGGGGGGGGGGGTATGTCCCCTTGAGCGTCGAAAACGCCTTTCTGGATCCGCCTATGACATCATCTCGACTGGGATCTTGCCCCCCCCCCCCCACGCCAAAATCGAATCCGCCGCCACTGGAGCGCACATCTCCCTCCAGCCATTGTGTCCGCTTTAGCGGCTGTCTGTGCTTTGCCCGTCGCCGAACCGGCTCAGTTGCTGTAAGTGTAGCACGCCAGACACCATCCGGAGGCCGCATCAGCCCAGTGTCTTACTTTAACCCTATCGTTTCATAATCTTAAATTGTTTAGACCGAACTACATAATCCAGCAGAAGGAATCAGAAATCGACTAATTCTTTATCGTTTTGACCCAACCAGCTTATAGGGTGTTTCACTAAAAGTGCCAAGAATTAAATGCCTATTAACCCGTGCCCCGCTGGGCTATTCAGCCATACGCGCCCTGCTGGGGGGGGGGGGGGCAGATTCTGCCCCCCTGTCTAACTTCCGAACCGATGGTCGTAGAAAGACGGGGGAAAACGGCAATCAAAAGCTCTCAACAAGGCGGATCTTAAGAGCCGATTTTTGCTCAAGTAGGTCAGAGGTCAGGTCAAGGTCAGGTCAAGGGTACAAAATACAAGTTTCTACAGTATCGGCCTTGCACCGTAGTTACCGAAGAATGGACTGAGACTGATTGCCCAAAACGTGTTCTTAGGCTACCAAGACAATATTCGTTGCATACAATAACATGCAAAGGTCAAGGTCAATGTCAGGTCTGGTCACCAAAAACGAAATATAGAAAAGGGCATGTGCGACACATGTTTTATGAGTCATTTTATTCATAGAGTTCAATAGGCACACTCAATAAGTGATATGGACCACATATGGATAAATTTCAGGTCGAGGTCAGGTCAAGGTCAGGTCAAGTAAGGTCAAATTTTGAAGCTGGTTGTTAAGACCTAACAAGGTGTCTATCTGATGCAGTTTGTCACGGCGAATCGAATGGTGCTATTTTTGTTTCCGTACAAGGTCTAGAACTTCCCAAACAAAAAATTCATTTTTCAAAAATTTGTGTGTCGTGACGTCATTAAAGTTTAAATAACTCCCATCTTTTTCAACCGATCCTTCTAAAAATTAGTATGTAGGTGCATACAGACTACTTCTCTGACACGTATTCTGGTCTTTCGATACACTCAAAATTTTGGATTTTATAATGATTTTCCCAAAAAGTCAGTTTTTTTTTAAAGAAAAAATAGGGCCGAAATCTAAAACTTTCAAAAAAAGCGAGATTTCCATTTGATAGACAAAGTAGAATCACGTATAGCTTTTTTTGTTACGTCTTGATTCCTTTAAAAATGAAGATTATAGCGGCGTTTGAAGTGTTACCGTTTTTAAGGCGAAACTGGCGTGACATGACGTCACTTAAATGTCATTTTCTCAAAAATTTCTGACGGATTTCACTCAAATTTTCAGGGAACGTGTTAAATAAATATATAATAAGGTACTGAATGTTTGACATCGCTGGCGTAACGCGTTTAGAAGTTATTGGCGAAAAACGGGAGGGGGCAGATTCTGCCCCCCAGTGGGGCGCGGGAGATATATAGAATATGCACAGCACGTGGCTGCGCATGTGGATTTGCGCATGTGGAAGCATTGATGTCCAAGAATTTGAAAGAAATCCACATGCGCAACCACGTGCTGTGCATATGTTATATATCTTTAATAGGCATTTTAATTTTTGACACTTTTAGTGAAACACCCTGTAAGCTGGTTGGGTCAAAACGATAATGAATTTGTCGATTTCCTATTCCTTCTGCTGGATTATGTAGTTCGGTCTAAACAATTTAGGATTATGAAACGATAGGGTTAAATTTTAACCCTCGCCCTGGCAGGGGGTCGATGCGACCCCCACTAAATTTTTTCGAAGATAGCGTAAAAACGGCACCGCGCAGCGCCGCCAAATTTGGCACAGCCTATGGGGCAACCTTTTTACATATGACCTGAAAATTTCAGGTCCAGGTTCCCTTGGGTCAGGTCACCAGGTCAGAAAAACTGGTACAAGGCCATGGTCAAATTTCAATTTTCTTTTTGCACCTGTCCAACTCACAGTTTTGGACTGATTTCCTTCAAACTTTCAGGATGTGCTAAGTTGACCGAGTTGTTTAACATGTAGTTCGGGTTTTTTGAGGTCACTGACCTGAAGTCAGTTAGAGGTCATTACGTCGTAATGTTAAGCCTATGGTAAAATACTAAATTCGGAGAATACTGGATATATCCGCTTCGTTCAGAATCACTTTTGTGCTTTGAAACCACAGTACTTAACAGCAGGTCACTTGGTGCTTCTATTTTTGGTGTACTTATCCATGAGTCAGGTCAAATGAGGTCAACTGAGGTCAAATGGCGTTTTTGCCAATAACTTGGCACATAATGACGCTAGAGCTTCAAAAATGGTGTCATTGTGTCCCTGGTGATCGGCCGAATCGAATGATATGCAGTATTATGCAATTTGGTTAAATGTTAATTAATTAATTACAGTTTGCTTAACAATTAAGAAAAAACTTTAAGTACTTAAGCAAGCTAAAAAGTTTATCATTCGACGCGCCTTGACGTGCTTTGTTCACTCGTGCTTTTCTTTTTGCTCTATCTTAATTAGATCAAAAGTTATAAGCGAAAAACTATTGACCTGTTTTAAGCGAAATTTTTACATTTATACCCCCCAAAACCCCGCTAAATATTGACCTAGGAGCAACAAAATTTGCACAGGGGCGAGATCTCCAGGGGGCCCACCTACCTACAAAATTTGGTGTTTCTAGGTGCTATAGGAGCCAATCGCGAGGGGGGCGGATCGACCCCCCCCCCCCCCTGCCAGGCCGTGCTATGAAAAATGCCCTGGCAGAGCGAGGGCTAAAGGAAGACACTGCGGGCTGATGCGGCCTCCGGATGGTGTCTGGCGTGCTACACTTACAGCAACTGAGCCGGTTCGGCGACGGGCAAAGCACAGACAGCCACTAAAGCGGACACAATTTCTGGAGGGAGATGTGCGCTCCCACGTATGACCTCAGTAAATGCTCCAGCTAAGAATGAATATGTCACATGAGCAGACGTGTTTTATCTAATATCATAAATCCAAATTGCATCAAAACTCACAATCACGTTTACAACACTCGTGTTCCGAAATAATCGGAGGCTATGGGATCATTAACAAAGAAGTGGGACAACTGGGCCCACACGTTTTTCAATACCGCCACAATTAAGTCCCCGAGGTGCCTATAGGGCCTGGCCTGGGGCGGGGCGGGGCGGGTCGGGGCCAGTGTCAGCTGTTGGGTCGGGGCGAGGGACCTGTATATGTCAGCTGTTGGGTCGGGTCGGGACGGGAAATTAGGAAATTCCGACCTCGACGAGCATCTGTGGTAGAAAACCACCACTTTGGTACTGCTGTCTGCTACCATTTTCACTGGATGTGCGCTGTAGCTGCGACATCTATGCATATACATATAAACCGCGACATCTGTGTGCGCTGATTCTAGTTAACGGTTAGGTAGGGCACCAGAATGGATCCAGACTTTCTGTTTGAGGGTGGGGGGATTCATGGTCGGCCCGATCCCCGGCAGTCAAAGTTGCTGAGCGGGGGGGGGGGAGGAAGGTCCAATATTATGCCACAAAAGACATGCCTATTCTATTGCCTGCGTATCTATTGGTATCAGCACTCAGCAGCCGGTCCCGTAGCTCAGTCGGTAGAGCGTTGGACTCCGCGAGGTGGGAGCTCGCGTCCCGGACAAAACAATAACAATGAAATGGTCTTCTCAGACTGAAAGCGTGAAAGGGTCAAACTCAACAAAACAAACCAAATCGGGTCGGAGCCTGTGTCAGTTGCCGGCTCGCAGCCAGCGCCGTCGTCTCAGTCTGGGCCGACACCGTTGTCCGGCCTCTGTCAGAGTTTCAGTGAAGTGCCGCTAGGCGGAGGGAGCTCGGTAGGAGCCTGTCCGCTGAGGTGACCTAGTCTCGCCCGTGCCCAGTCCAGCGCAGAACGGTGCGGGAGACTGACAGAAGACCTCGCGCTCCATGGAAAAGGTGAATCGCTTTCAATGAGAAGGCACTAGGAACAGTGTTAATTCCGTGTTTGCTGATGTGGTGTTGAATCATTCGTGAGGTGCATTCTGTTGGTATATGGCCAACAAATAGCACTCATCATATGCACACTAGTGGACTATGGCACATCGTATGGGTACAGTCGCACCAACCGAGCTATAGGTAAGTGGTCCAGCTGATTCGGGGGTAAAAATTACGGGGGTGGGGTTCTAGGACCACCAACAGGGCGTGTAAAGTAGGACTTCCAGTGTGTACGGGTTAGGTATTATGAACCATGGATAATGGACACTATAATATAGACAATAGAGAATATACTATTATAGACAATAGAGAATAGACATACCACGTCCCGATTCAATTCCAACTTAAAAACTGTTTAACGCTCTCGTCTAAGACATTATGCTTTTATTTTTGTATTGGGAACTGTTATTTTTGCAACCTTAGCGTCGTAAATCTTTGCTTTATTGATCAACTCTCGTTTCTCAAATTGGAGAACAATTGCTCCGTGCTCGTGTAACCGCAAACCTTCCTAGTCGTTTGAAGCCGTATGTTGCACAAATCGTGCTAGAATACTTATTTTGTCATAACATCCTTTCTGTTCTGTTTGGGGAGTAGGTACTTGATGCATGTTGACCTCACCACCAGTGTTGGTCTGTCATCAATTAGGCTTATTCTGTTTTTTTTTTTTTTTCAGAGGCTGTGGTAAATCAGAAGCTGCAACAAGGCTGCCTGAGGAAGTACCCAAGAATCCGAAGGATGAAATAAGAGTGCTGCAGTTAAAATTCACAAAAAGATTTTATGGAGCGACGCAAGAAACTAAAGCATGAAATTATGTGCGAAAATAGCTCTTCGTCGCAGCGGTGAAAAATGCTTTGGCGTTGGTTTTGATAACGGAAAAAGATGATAAATCGCTGGCTTCTAGTGGCCTTTGCAAATACGCGAAGGTGGTTGCTTGCGCTTTTTGCTGTGGGGGCAATTACGCTAGTGTTGAACCAGATATGGATACCGCCAAGTGCTGTGCGACCAAGGACCCTCCGCCCTGATTTCCTCCGAAATGGAAATCATCATGGACCTCGTTCCAACGAGCAGCTGCGGTGGCAAGAATGTCAGAAAGTGCTCTCCATCAGCAGAAATCACTTCTCTTGGGAGGAGGGTGGCAGACACGGGTGCTGCAAGAAGACGCACAGGTCCGTGGAAGAATTACTGGAGGGGATGAAAACCCTTCAGCGCTCACGGACGGGAGATAAGGACGTCAATATAGTTTTCATAGGAGACAGCAGAATAAGGATTCTTCAAGAAACCATGATGAAGAAACTAAAACTAAAACCAGACAACCCTGCCAAGGTTCCCATCTTCTACAAACCGATCTTTTACTCTGAGGAAGAGCTTCGACATGCGGTACCCCCTCAGGAGAAGCAACCAGGTCTGCAACCCGGCTGTCTTGAAGCAAACGTAATAGCTTTAGACCCAAGTAAAATTCGATGTACTCTGGGCGCCAGCGGTGACTCTTTCCGTAGCGAGTTCTGGTGGCGACCCTATCTTCAGGAGCGCTTCCGCGAGCGTCTGGACTGGCTTTTAGCCGAGTGTGAGGCAGGACAGTGTCCTGACGTGGTCGTACTCAACAGTGGTCCATGGTACGCCCGCATTAAGCGATTTCCCGGCGATCTCGCCACGACCAGGGCGATACAGTTCATCGCCGATCTGGCAACACAGAAATCCAAAATCGCGCGGCTGGCTTCCTCGACCAGAGTGCTGTGGAAAATCGACGAGCCATACATGCCTGAGGCCGTGTACGAGCACAAAATGAACATGACGAGAGCTATGATGGTGCTGTCGTCCGTGGTGTACGAGGCGGCGGCCCGCATTCCCCAGTTTTCCGTGTGGTCGAGTGGCATGGTTGAAGCGACGCAGTTTTATCATGGCGTTTGTGTAGCACATCGCAAACTGCTCAAACGATCACTGCATGATCCAGTGAGGTATGAGTGTTTGGATCCCATGCATGTGGGGGAAACAGTCCGCTGGAAGATGCTCCAGTCACTCTTTGATGTGTTGTTACTCAACGTAACGTCGCCCACTCAAGGTCTATGTTGTGGGTCGTAAAATGTAATAGTTCGGTCAAAAAGTTATATCGATTTCAACTTTTGCTCAGGGATTGTGTTCTTTTCTTCTAATTTTAACAAATTTGTGACATCTGCTTCGATAGTCTAAGACACACCCACAGTGCACTCAAAATCGATGGTCGACTTATGAAGCATGGATGAAGCGTCTTGCACGACCATGTTGGAAGCAAATTTGACTACAGTCAAGGCAAACATTAAACTGTGATATTTCATCATTTCTATTTTCACGCTTAATCTTATGATACCGTTAAAAATATCACACGAATGTTTGGTGCTTTGATACAAAGACCACTAATTGTGCCTGCATGCTGGTTTGATGCTTTGCGCGAATTTGGAAAAGTTGAATTGAAGAACTCATCACTCGACCTTAGTGTGGCTTGAGTAACCACTCAGTCAGGTCGCCCATTCACCTCACGGCAATGCCCTTCTTTCAGTTATAAGAGCTTCACTTGCTTTGCTATGTCTGTTGTGTTTTGTCTATGATATGTATTTGAGCCTACAGTGAAGCTGGTGTGATGTTGATGTTCGCTACCTTTTTTGCCGGAATGGATGACTTGACTTGCTTGTACATTGGTCTGTAAGTGTATAGTCGACTACAGAATGATGTTCCACTCCTCAGAAGCTATCAGTTGACCGGAACGCTAATTTGTGCCGTTTATCACGCAATTAAGCGTGTCGATTGTGAGCATTGGGACAAAACTATAATTTGTGAACTCAGCCCGTGTGATGCGGCACAGCCTACCACTCCAGGCAAATAACTAATTGCCTGTGAAAAGTGGAACATCATTCTGTAGTCGACTATACAATGATGTGCTTTATGCGCAGTGCTTACGAGGCTTTCAGTGAAATGCGTAAAATGCGCAATATACTGCGTGAAATGCGCCATTAGGTATATGGTTTCTATGTTAACCCGCACAGGGCCGGGGTGTCTGAACAACACCCTCCCCCCGTCTAACTCGGCGCCTGGGCCATGTACCGCACGCGGTTATAAGCGGCATTCGAAAGAGCATCAAAAATATTAAAGAAATCACTTCAGTCAATTTTTAGGTCAGGTGAAAGTCACCAGAGGTCATCAAAGGTATTTTTTCCTATTTAAACAATTTTCGAAAACCCGGTGCATACCTCAAGAATCAATAGAGCAACAGCTGGCAAAACAAATGTCTTCACTTTCTTGAGTCAAAAGTTATTGCAGAAAAGACGTTTTTTAAACTGCCATTTTGGAGTTTTTTCCTGTTAAGGCTAAACCCTTGACCTGATGTCAAATATGACATGTTAGCGAAAGAGCGTTGAAAGAGCATCGAATGCGCTTTTCCGCAGCCAATTGAAATGGTGAACGATTCAGTGTGTTTGTCTCATGTTCAAGTTTGTTAGGCTTTTTCTGAGCCTTTTTTACGTTTGCAACGTGTAATCGGTTTGATTGAATGGCCCTAGAGACGGTGACATCACATGAAGAATCGTTACAAAGCTTAGCACCGGTGTCCATCTCACGTAGTGTTTGGAGTTCTGCTTTCAACAATCGTCAGATTCCTCTCTTTTCTTAGCTAACAGATGGCTGACCATTGGTCAGCCATCAAAATGGATAGCTTGACATGAAAACAAGCATCATGAAACGCTCACAGAAGTGAGAAAGGTCATCTTGCCATCTCGTGAGTAAACAGACGAAGCTGGCACGAACTAGCGCAGCCAGCCAACCACAAAATAACCGTGAGTGCTCTCACGGTAGAGCTTCGTCGAAGCAAAACGCGCAGTAACGATCACACCGGTACAGACAGTATGCTGAGAAACTCATTTGGCCATCCACGCTTGTCGATGTGAGAGGCATATTACCGTATGGCGCCGGACCGGAGCGGAATACCGCTGAGCCGCTAACGGTACCCACCTGAAGCACCTCGGAGCTCGCTGATACACCGCTCGGTGCTGCGGAGCGCTGTAGCACCGTGTTACCAGGGGCGGATCCAGGGGAGAGGCTTGGGGGGGGGGGGCTAGAGCCACTAGTCGAAAAATATGCCACCCCGCGCGCGGAGCGATGAATCGGGGCGCCGCAACATCATCAAATCACTATATCCATAAAAAAACGTTAGGGGAAGAGAGAGAGAGAGAGAGAGAGAGAGAGAGAGAGAGAGAGAGAGAGAGAGAGAGAGAGAGAGAGAGAGAGAGAGAGAGAGAGAGAGAGAGAGAGAGAGAGAGAGAGAGAGAGAGAGAGAGAGAGAGGAGAGAGAGAGGACGATGTCTTCAATTTTCACTGTAGGCGCCCAACTCGTGCATTTTGATGCCCCTGGTAGGTGGAAAACATGCCTCCCCCTTTGCACGCAGCGCCATAGATTTCAGTGCGCAGCATTTTTGTGCCAATTGCTTATGTTACTTATGAATTTCAAGTTATTCTAGTGTGAACAAATGCTCTCTCTCTCTCTCTCTCTCTCTCTCTCTCTCTCTCTCTCTCTCTCTCTCTCTCTCTCTCTCTCTCCCTCTCTCCCATTCCATTAGCCCCTGGCCGAAGAAGCTACTGGATCCGCCCCTGCGTGCTACCCCCCCCCCCCCCCCCCCCCCAGCCCTCCCCGGTGTTCGCCTCGGCGCGGCCGGAATCTGTGGTCCCTGACCCATTTTCTTGTGACTTCCTCTATCATCGCTATTCACTGGGGCACGACCGACGCTGCTGTGGTAGCACAAGTCACATGAAACTGATGTTTAGTCTCAGGCGACTGGGCCTGTTCACTGTTGCCGTTTTCACGACGGCCATCACATTTGGTGCACATCTGGTACAGATTAGGTGCAGATTTGGTCAAATCAGGTTCAGTGTCTCTTAGCAGCTATCAGCTAGGGTTGCACTAATTGCTTACATGCCTGCTTTGTCGTATTATCAGAGAGCATCATCGATTAAAACACTGAAATAAATTCATAAAATGAAGATATTTGCTGTAAAAGAAATTAGGTGCAGATTTGGTCAAATCAGGTGCATTCGCCGGATGGCCCGTCGTGAAAACGGCTAGTATGTAGCTGAGCTGTATGACACGATTGTCAATACTATTAACACTCGCTTGTTTTCTTCATACTTATCAACATATCTGCCACCCATAGTCCATACCTACCATACCAGCCACCTCGGCAGTTCACCCGTTATTGAGCTAGAGATTGACGAAAAACAGCGAGCCCACTGCTACGAACTCAAGATTAGATAAATAGATATGTCAATCGGATACCAACTTTTTGGTATACCGATACCAAACCGATACCAACGTGGTATTTTGTAGTTCAACCCTAATGTTTTTGGTATTTTGTTGTTATTGTGAATCCTCGCTTATGTAAAAGAGGCTGTGAATTTGGTAAAAAGTTGGTATTTCCCTGATATTTCAAAGTCTGTTCGCTTTCGGTATTTTCCCACGCTTCCGGTTGGTATTTAGTTTGGTATCGGTATCACGATTTTCCGAAATTGACAGCACTAACTCTAGATGTTGCAAATGGTATCCAATTTCAACGTATCAGGCCAACTGGTGGCCTTCCTCTATATTAAGGTCAGGTCAAATGCCTCAAATCTTTCCCGTGCACGAAGGAAGGATGCCGACATGCAAGATGTTTTACAGGGGCACCTTGAACGCTGTGGAGAAAAAGATGAAATTTAATATCCCTGGCCTTCGATTCAAGCTCTACGGTAAAAACGGTTTAAAGGTTATGGCAAGTCACTGACTTGCTTGGTGACATATCTGAACCTCTGCACGGCCCGAAGATGGTCCAGCTTCGCAACGCTCTCATTGCTAGGAAATATTTTTGCCGGAGGAGAAAACTTTCAGTGAGAAGAAAACATTTGCTGCCAATTGCTACACAGCTTGCTTGCCAGATATTTTTTTTTTCGCACGGGTCACCTGAGGTCAGACGAGACGTCGATACCTAGCTCTAAGTCTCTACTCCCTAGATCACAACGCTTACAAAGCTCTATCCAGACATGAAATCACACTCACACTCACACTCACAGTGAGTTACACTCGTCTGCCAGAGTTGTGACCCGTATCCGAAACCCCACAACACAAAGTTTAATTCCTGGCAATGATGTAAATGATGCGCACGGAATAACCAAGGCATGAAGTGTAAGCTGATAAGTTGGTGTGTGTATCCTGTAGAATCCGCTCTTCCTGGTTAAAATAACATAGGTTTTGAACTAAAAAAATGCTTCAATGAGCTTCGTTAACGAGGAAAACGACGAAACGGAGGGAAACGTACAGTGTCGCTGTTAGCTCTTCGGATCTGGTGTTGTGTTGTGCCCCCCCCCCCCAGCACCAACTTGGAGCGGAGCGAGACGCTATCCACACCGGAAACCGCCGGTCATCCATCTCCCCGACTCTTCATTTGGCACAGAAAGGCGGTGCTCACCACTCTACCCGATGTCTGTCCGGAATGCACGGCATACACCTTTTGCGGTCAAATGTAGACGAGGTACACAACCACACTACATGGTTCAGTAATCTAGCGCTACCGATTTCGACTGCTCGCGCATATACAGTCTTTGCTGTAATGTCGAAATCCGGCGAGAGCGACTTTAGCGAGTGTCGGTCGAGCAAATCGTCATTGGAGCGAACCATTTTCAGCGATTATCAATTTGAGCGATTATCAAATATAGCGATTATCAAATATAGAGATTATAAAAGTGAGCGAAAGCTATATTTCAGCGACATCAATTTCGCCGACTACTATTTCAGCGACTGTCGAAAACCTTTAGTCGAAATGCCTGCACTTTTAGGTACTTCAAAATGTGTGCACTGCCGCCTACATGGGGCGTAAAAAGGTGTAGTGCAGAAGACTGGCAAGTTGCAGGCTCGTCCGCCGCTGCTGCATTGATGATGACCGCCAGCAATATCGGGTGGATCGGAGCGGGCGCTCTACAGTCCGCCTGTCTCCTCGCCTATCCTCTCCTCTGCTCTGCTCTACCCGGGGTCGGCGGCCGCGCGCCAGCGCACTGTAGGCGTTCGGGCTGGTCTAGTCCCTCACAATTCCAAAATAACTTTTTCGCCTT